TTGGTTTCTGGCAGTACTGCTGGTTCACTCTTCCTTTGATAAATTGCTTGAGCCTTTGTCACAGTGACTATAAAATAGGACCAGTGTTCGCCTACATAGCTAAGAAGTGATTTTTAAGGTTGTAATTAATCTTCATGAATTTTAACTTACCTTGATGGAAGTTAATTCAGTGCTTATTATGTGTAGTCCTGTTTGCTTTATGGTATATGGAGAATTCTGGTTGCTGGAAAAATTGTGTTTCAATGTGGATCAGAAGAGTTTGATGTAGTTAATCCAGCAAAATAAGCTATATACAAATGGGGTTACTTCAGAAATGCCTAAATTGTACCCTGAAAAACCAAGAGAAGTTTTGAAATGCACCCAGAGTGCAGGATAACATGTGCTCTGCATTGGGAACAGATGCTGGCTCCATTTCAGCTTTAAACTAGGGCATTCCAAATGTCACAGCGAGCCAGCGCTGAGGGACTTGGCCTTGCAAAGAGCCAGCTTGATATAAATGAGTGTTCATTTGATAAATGGGGTCTATTACTGAATAAGGGTTGTCTTTTAACATCTTATACTGTGCTGGTGCTGCTTTGGATCAAAGTTTAGTTAAATTTCTGTGGAACACAAGCGTGCTTTAAAGCTAAACCTTCATCATGAAATGATCTGTACTTCTTCAACGGGAAGCTTTTGAGCCCAGTTTTAAATATATGAAGGTTTTGCATGCTCAGAGCATCGAACTTGTCTGCTGTCATCAGTTCTGAAGCAGGTTTGACTCAGTTATTTACAAAAGAAAGATGTGTGTCTCTATGCCAAAACAGGCATGTAGGAAGCACCTGATCAGCAATTCTTAAACTGAGGATTGTGACCTAAATGGTGTTGTAAGGACTGTGAGTGGGGAGTACAAGGGATGCTGTTTTATTTTGGTATTGCTTGCTCCCTGAAGTGAGATTAGGGCACTGCCCAGACACCCAGGCTGGGTAATTCTCCAGGTGGGAGTTGCAAGGCAGCGTTTGGTTTCACTTTGTGTACAGTGGGTGTTTTGAAGAAATAAAGTTACAAAGAAACAGTTGCAGCTTCTCTTTCACCCACTTTCTCATATTTAAATTTGTATCATGAATGACTCAAAGTGGGGCTTCTTTCATACACAGAATGGTCCCTAAGTCTCCAGCTTAATATAAACTAAAAAAATTATTGATCACTGCACTGAGAGTTTCACTGTACCTTGAGGCTTCAGTAGTGCATAATGTTTGATGAGAATAGGTGGATGGCTAAAAACGGAGAATATTATTGATCATTGTACTGAGAATAGCACTGAACCTTGAGGCTTCACTTGGTGCATAACTAGTGAAAATGGTGGGTGGAGCATTAGTTTGACAGCTTTCCAAATTTCAGCTATGTAAACACAGGGAGGTCATCACAGCCATTTGAAATTTACCAGGGCTTATTTTTTTGTTTTGCTTTATCGTGTTTTTGTTAGTAAATTCACCTTAGCAGTTTTGAACAAGTCCCATGTGTCCAGTGAGATAATCTTGGTGATGACAGCTAGATCACTTGATCCATGTCCTAGGCTTTATTTGAATATAGGAAACAATATATTGAAGCACTTTGACAGAATTAAATTATTGCCTTTCTAGGGGTACTACATAGGTAAAGGGGAAAAGGAATAGTTTCTGGCTTGAGAGCCTGTTCTCAGTATTGGGGTGGGAAAAATCTAAACATGCTGATATTGTAAGAGGAAAGTACTTTTGGGGTTTTGTTAGAAGGTTGAGTTTCATCCATCATTGTAGCTGAAAGGGGAGCCAGGAGAGCTGCCTTTGTAGGAAGGTGGAGGGAACCTTTGGATTAGGTCAGTGGGAATTAAGGATTGTGAAGGTTCTTGTCACTTGGGAGAGCAGAGCCCTTGACTTGGAGAATCTGACTGCTAGGAAGTCCAGCAATAAGAGCTGGAGATGCTGAAACAAAACAAACCAAGAGGTATTGCTTCTTAATTTTTTTTCAATGCCATAAAAGTGAATCAGTGACAAAAATATTCCAGTGACAAATTCTAATACTTACTGCTGAGCATTTTTTATCAAACCAAGTGAACCTGTGGGAGTCATTGCTGAAGTACAAGGAACACAGATTCAGTGACTTTGCTTAGCTTTTAACAACAGCAAAAGCAGAGGCAGTATTTTCTTCAGATCAGTTTATTCATGGAGTTCAGGTTTTTATTTAAGAGTAAAAGCACCACTTAGGATCTGGTGGTTCTAGTTTTGAATGGTCAGATAAACTACAATCAATCAATTCAGTTGTCTTACTGCTTTTAGTACTTAATCAAGTAAGAGGGGGTTTGGAGACAACATTTTAAATGCTTTCTCCCTTGCCCCCTTTTTCCTTTAGGGAATATAGAAACTATTTAAGTTGTAATTTTGTTTGCATTTAATTCCTTTCTCAAATATATAGATAAAAAAATTATCAAAGGATTAATAACTAAACACATATATAACAAATCATATATGCAATCTTAACAATTTTAAAAAATGTTTTAAATGGCCAAGTGTTGAGTATATGAGACACATTATGCCTACATCTCAGATTTACCAAAACTAGTATGGATAGTGTGTTCTTATTAAAACCAAAAAATCCTAATCTAACAGCAACAAACTGTTCACATCTTATTTTGTCAACAGATTTCTGTAAGGGAATAAAAATTGAAACTGAAAATGTGATTAGAACACAGTTGTTGTTTCTTACCTGCTGGTTTAAGTGATTTGGATTAAAACCAGAGCATACAGGAAGGAGAAAAATCTGTTGTTCTGTTTGTTTTTAAATATCAGTTTGAATAATCTTTGGTGTTTGTGTGTACAGAGGATTCTCAGCAAGCACCCGCCTGTTGCTCTGCAGACATCACCTTGTTCCACATGTATTTTATGCATGTGGTGCAATGCCCAACAATCATCCACTGCCATCAGATTTTTTCTGTTCTTCAATGAAAGTGTGATGGGTCTGGCAAACACTGTATTTTTGTGTTGGTCTATGAAGTATACAATTCTTAATGAAGTTATCCTATTGGAGGTAGTGCATTACTGCTCTGTATTTTGCAATACAGGAGCACCCCAGAAGCAAATTTTAAAGCTTCTGTCATGCAAAATGATACCCAAGCATGCAGCAGGTGATATTTCCCTCCTCAGCATTCATATTTACTTACAAGCAATTGAAGAAATCAAATTAACCTGAAAGCAGGAATCTCCATTGAAAACACAGAAATCATTTAATTTGAAAAATTAATAGGATTTCACAGAAAGGTACAATAAACCAACCATTAAGAATCTACAGTTGAAGTGTGTCCTTGGAGGGGGAAAAATGGATCAGGAGAAGTGGTGAAGAAAGCCTAGTGAACTAGGTAGATGTGTATTCCTAATCCAAGAATGCATTCATTCTTGCTAGTAGAGCAGGGTGCATAAGATGTCATTATTTTAATCTTTCTCTAATTATGGTTAGTCCTGGTTAACAGAAATTGTAGCACCTGAGATGTCACAAGTTCAGTGTTTATAAAATAGGGCATGAGGGAAGTCTGGCTTTTTTAATCTGGCTCAGACATGCTTTAAGTGCAAGCACTTTATAACCATTTCACCCACTAAGTACCTCCTCTTGAAACAGAAAAAATATTTTGCCCAAGTATGATCTTCATCTAATGTAGTATTTAAGCAGTGTTATGAGCAATTTTGAATTCTGGAGGTGGCTTCTACTTCCAGCAAAGCTGAGGTATCTAGCCCAGACCTTTTGATGGAAGGAAGGCTGCATGAACATTGGATGGGGTGCAGGAGTTGGTACTGCTGGAAGGGTGTCCTGGCCTTGGAGAAGAGAGTGGGGCAGGGATGCTCAGTGCCTGCTTCCAGACAGGTGCTTGTGAGGGACCAGGTGTGGATATCAGGTGTTCTTTTGCAGGGCTGGAGAGTGTATGGGGGAAAGAAAAAGCATTCAGAAGAGGCAAGTGGAGAGAAGAGAAACTACTTTTCCAAATATGTGCTACACTGCCAGAGACAGCACTGAGCTCTGACATGGCTCTGCCTTGAGCTGAACCAAAGCAAGTTCACAAATGTAGCATTTTTCAGATGTGGATTCTCTTGCTGTTCTTTTCCTGATTCTAGGTTTTTAAGGTTCATTTTGAGTGAATTTTACAGTTACATATTTGGAAGCAGTGCAGCCTGGCATAGGCCTATAGTCTGATGCTCTTAACTGGAATTTTGTTCTGAGAGATGTGCTAACTCTCTTTCAAAAAAGAGTTTCAGAATTAAAAAAGAGGTAGTGGTCCTTGAGTTTAGAAGCTTTTGGGATTGAAGTTAAAAATATTAGGTTTACCAGTATTTTTCTTTTCTGAGAGTGCTTTTTGGGGAATATTAGGTTCAGTATAACCTGACAGTTGAAGCCATGTGTTGAAATGTTTAGTTCAGGAAAAGACCACATTTTTGTCAATATACTTTGGTTTTCCCTCTTCACGTGTTTAGTACAGTAATGTTTTTGAGTGCAGTGGTAAAATCAGTTTGTACACAGAGTATAAGGACATGAAAGTTCCTGAGGCTTTGTCTTCATACGCATTTATAGATTTCACCTTTATTCTTCTTTTCACATAATTTTAATGAAACGGAATGTTACTGGTCTGAAATGTTAATTTTCCAAATGCAAGGGTTGTACTGCTTGAACTATGTTATCATAGTTCCCTCTCAGCTAAGTGAACCAAATAACCACAGGATTAATTTCTGTTTTCTTGCTATTAGTTTTAGAGGGAGCATCAGCCTGTGAACCTATGAAACGTTCATTTTGCCATTTCTGCACTCTTAATAAAGGTGGTGGAAGAACCAGCAAATGTCATGCTTGTCTTAGGATTTGTAAAATGAGAACCATATGAATTGTTTCAAGATTTAAATTTATATTCTAGTTCTTTACCATTTAGGTTTTTACGTGTGAATGGTCATTAGCAGGCTCTTAACTACTTCAGTTTTTAAAAGTTATGTAATTGGTATTTTTCTTCACAGGGAGAAGAGAATTTATCCAAAGATTAAAACTTGAAGCAACCTTGAATGTGCATGATGGATGTGTAAGTCACTTGTTGCTTTTTTGTTTGTTAAAAATTGTTAAATTGTGATTTTGTTGCCATGGTAATAGTCCCTCAACTTAAAAAGTGAAATATCTTTTATTTGTACATTAAAGCTGGGCAGGACCACTCTGCTTGTTGAGATCTACATCTGAATTCTCTTGCTATTTGTTTCTTCTTGAATACCTGACACTTTTACCATTGAAGCAAAACAAAACACCAGTCCTGTATCTTAATGTTGTATCTATTACTGATTGAATTAATCTCTCCTGCCATTTAAACACATTCCTACCTTTTCAGTTAGGACTCATTTTAAACCTTGACATGAAGGGGGGGGGGGGGTTTGTTGTTATACTGTGCTGAATTAAAAATTTATTAGTGTTTTGAGTGATTTATTTTCCAATTTCAAAAAGCAAATCATCAAGTGCTACATGCTGACTTATAGGCAATGAAAACAAAAATAAGTCTTCCTGAAAGGCTTATTTAAATATTAACATTGATTTTTGAAAGGGGTCCAAATATTTTAAAACATATCTTTTTTTAAATAGAGCATTTACCTAAACTAGGTTCAGGACAAAGAGGCTGTCATGTTACCTTTGAGGATTAGAGCAGAAATTCATGGTTGTTAAAGTGTTTGTTGTACAAGATATCTGAAAAATGAAAGTATTCTATAAAAAAATGAAAACATACGTGCAGCTTTTGTACTTTAATGTGTAATTCCAAAACTGTACAAACATAATGATTATTTTAGCTTGAGTTGCTCGGACTTTTAATTAATTGAGGAGCAATATAATTTTAAACTAACACAGTAGTAGTTTTAAGGAGCAAGTGTTGTTAGCATGCAGCCTTCTCGAGATAGAAGTATGATTTGGATGTGCCTGTGTTTTTGTGAGCCTGGAAAGTCTGAGAAAGGCCATGATTAGAATTGCTGTGTATAAATGTGAGCTACTTTTCCTGTGCTGATTACATTATAAGTTTAATGTTCTGGTACAGATGGTGTTGGTGTAATGACACAAATATATACATTTCTCTTTTTTTTTTTTCCCAATGAATGTTACAAGAATGATGATGTAAGGTCTCCTCCAAGCCAAACAATTCTATGATACTGTGTGTATTTAATAATTTTCATATTCAAGATTGTAACAGTGATACTTTGCTTCCAAATTTCTTCCCTAAGTAATTTATCATCTCCTCAAATACTTAAGATTAAATTTTTCAAGTTTATTTTGCTGAAGTTGATTAGGGCTTTTTATTTATGTTTTTCTTTATTTCCTTGTAAAAAAAAGTATTTTTTTCCTATTAAAATAGAATATAGGAAAATAATCTTTCTTCACTACTTGTTAAATGTTAAGCAACTGATATCTATTCAATTATCTGCCTCTGTGTCATGTAATAGAAATTGCAGATTTGGTGTTGGCTGTTGATGTTGCTTTAATCTACCTGATGGATATTTATTTGAAAACCAATTTTGATGTGATTGTGTTAGCTTTGAAAGTATGCTTTTACATATGGCCTAATTGTTTCAGTGGGTGGAAAATACTTAAATTGTAAACTTACAGCATTATTTGCAGGTATTTAAAATACTTCAGTATTTAAATACAATATTAAAATACTACAGTTTGAAAAAATGTCTTTAGAAGTTAAATTTGCTCAGAACTCTCCAGCTTTAAGGAATGGGCTATTGGGAGTTCCTACCTCATTTACTGTGTGGTTTTTTGCAAGGAAGAATCTTTTAAGGCTAACAACCACTCAGTATAATTTCTTACTATTTGTTTTTTAAAAATCTATGACATAGAAATCAATGAAATTACAATGCTTGTACTTACTAAACTCCTTATTACCATCAATGGAAATTAGGCTTTTTTTTTTTAATTCTTCCCACAACTGTTGACTCAGCATGCATTTCAAATATAGGGAATTAATGCCATATTGTCCTATTGAAAGGTGTTTCTGGGTTTGGTTTTTGGGTGGTTGGGTTTTTTTAATGAAGATTGGATGGCAGGGGTTTGGGGTTTTGTTTGGTTGATTGGTGTTTTTAAGAACTTTTTCATTGTTCTGTTGAATAAGCTGTGACTTATATTTTCTATATAAAGCATGCTATGTAATTGGACACGGTGGACAACTTACTTAAGGCAAGAAATTTTTTTTACTAATTGAGGATAAAAGTAAAGTCCAAGTTCCCACCTGTTAGACAGAAGAGAGATCCTATGGGAGATACAACTGTGTGTATAATCATACCCAGGCAGGATATCTGTGAAGAAGGGAATATCCCATTAATTACTTCACATATCCATGCTCTTGTAACAGTAATATTACCATAACACCTTTTGCTTAAAATCTGAGTATTTTCACCTCAGAGTTCAGGGGCAATTCTCTTTGAAACAGTCCCATTTTCCCCTTGGTTTGAAGACAGTTTCTAGCAGCACTGTGTGAAGTAATTGAATTTGTTCTGCAGAATTATTGATGTCTGCCAATAGCCTTATCTTCCTTCCAGGGCAGGATTTGCCTCTTTCAACAAGGTTCACATGGTCAAATTCAGTAAGATCATTTGTATGCCAGAACTTGCCATTTTCTGTGTTAGCTGTAAAGGGAGCTTAAGAAGATGAGGAAATGTACAGGGGTAGGTGAGCTGTTCTGTGTGAAGTGATTAAATCCAAAGGAGAAATGTTGAAAGAGAAGCAATCTGGACCAGCAGCAATGAAGTGTGAGGAAAGTAGAGGATAAAGAAACTCGAAACCATATTGAATTGCAGTAAAAATACTGCTTATTTTCTTCCTGGTTTGGTCCTGTGAAAGCTGAGGAAGGATGAAGTGCTCCTGCATTTCAGGATGTAGATGAAGCATTTGACATGAGTAAATACTACATTCTGAAATAAAGAATATTACCTAAGGACTAACTTCTCATTTCTATGTACAGGCATTCAGATCAATAACAAACCAGCATCCTTCATGGCATTCATCTCCTTCAGGATGGCACTTGGGAACAAGTCCTTTTCAGATGTACTCCTCAAAGCCATGCTTAAACCAGTATAGGGAGTTTGTGTTTTCTTAGAAACAATTTTCACCTTGTACTCCACAGATGAAAAGCACTGCCTTTTTTACCCCCTTCTTTGCTTGGGGGATATTCCTGATATTCTGGATATCTACAGCCATTTTTTCCAAATTTATTTTCTTCTATTTTTGTATTCTCTTAATCTCTTCTCTTCACAAAAGAATGGATTCTGAGGTCACTTTGCATGGAAGTAAGGACTTTGCTTTTTTGTTTTTTTAAGGATTGGCTGCACTGCCTCCTGCATTGTCTTTGAGGAAAACATAGAGATAATAAATTTATATCTCACTAATTGACTAATGAATCAAAAGTGCCTGCTGACTCCTTGCAAGGCCAGATGAGTGACAAATAAAATTAGATACAATTAATAATGTGGAGTATTTAATAGAAAAAACTAATTTCACAGCCTTTGGCTTTTCTTAGCTTGTTAGTAATTGTCTGTCATTTGTGTTTGATGTATCTTTTCTTCTGGGTCCAACACCCTTTCCCAAGGTTTCCAAACTCTCAGAATAGTAACTGGTACATTATACTTTTAGTTGGGTGTTGAGTGGCAGTGCAGGTAGTCCAATATTTTTTCAAAATAAAAAGCAATTTCCTATCCCGTTCTTGTTTTACATTTTATTCTAGTAGTTTGCTGCCATGGAATGAGAAGAGAACTTTTTAAAATTCTGTTTATTTTAGTGATCCATATGCAAATTCAATTGGGTTATTTGGTATTGGTCAGAAGGTTGTACTGAACACTATGTATATTGACTGGAAAGTCTCTGAAAAAAACCCAAACAAGCTGATTTCACTGAAAAGCTTTATTACTTTTGAGTTATTTGTTGCCAGTAATGCTGAGAAGGTGATTGGGTACAGAATAAAAAAGCCTGTTTAGTTACAGATCTCTGGTAATTTGGTTATGTCATTCAGGATTATTTTTGAACCAACTTTGGTCTGGGCAGGGTATATTAAAATTGCTCAACTGAGGCAATCATTGCAATGAAATTGGAATTTTGGAGGAGAATGATTGATGTCTTGTGTAGACTTGTGGTGCTGCAATTTAGATAATCTTATCTCCCCTTTGCATCTTCAATGTTTCTCTGCTTTGCTGTCATTCAGATTTTGTGTTTGTACATAAATATACACATCCACCCCCTCAATTTGTTTAATTGTTTGTGCTAACTTTTCTTTCTCATATCATGACTTTAAATTTTTTAGTAGCTTCCTTGTTTTTTCAGTGTTTCATTCTTGTTTCTATTCCTGTATTCTTACATTAGCATTTTGGTTTCTTTAGGGCAATGATAATAATACTTTTCTGCCTGAGAGGCAATGTAGATGAAAATAAACATTGCTGGGTTGTGTGTTTGCCCTGGCTGTAGTGCTGTGCAATGTTTGACAACATTTTAGAGTACAGCCATTGTCAGGACAGGTTATTTCAATGATAGATGGTTCTGGGGGCTGGTTGAAATTGTGGTTCTTGCTGATTGACAGCCAGAGTTATAAAATCATAAGAGTAGCCATGCAAGGTCATAGCAAAGCTCAGTGGAGCCTGATAACTTGGCCCTGAAGGTGGCCAGCACATATTTTTGAAGGAAGTTGAGACAGGGCAAGCAGACAGTATTTGATGGGTGTTCTGGAGAACGCATCATGCTTCAATGGGTAGATAGAGGTGGAAGCTGCACCTTTGTTTCTGATCATTTTTCATTTCTCTTTGATGAATATGTATATCCTTCCACTTCTGGTGTTTAAGGTGTTCTATAACAATGATTTCCAGTTTCATTAAAAAGCCATGTGTCATTGGATTGTTCATTTAAGGCTTTCTATTTCCTGTACTGTGAAGATCCGCAAAAAATTATTTTTTACTTTTTCCATGTCATTCATGCTCTCATAAGCTTCTATCATTTCCCTTCCCTAGAGCAGTACAAAATATTTGCTTCTTGCCATAAAAAGTGTTAGATATCTGTGAGCACCCAGTAATTCTTTGTCATGATTTCTCTTTCCAAGTGGGCAGTAATGGAAATGGAGAATACAGGAGTGGGATATGAACCAAACTGCATAGTGTGGGACACGTGGGATTGCCATGCATGGATGTATATCCTGCTCTTCTGTGCATTTCCTAATAAATCCTAACAATATCTGATTGTTTCTGAGCACTGAGCTAGCCATGGCGTAGGCATGTTTGTTTAACACCAAGATCTCTCCTCAAGTTCCTCCACCTGAGAATATCAAGGTGCTGTTGTTCCTGTGATCCACCTGAAACTGCTAACTCTGATTTTGCAACTAACCCCCACTCAGCTTGTCATTAAAACAGCAACTAGAATGCTTGTATTTATTTTAAACAAAATTATTTTTATTGGGGGGGGGGGGGTCTCAGAGTGAAACATTTGAATTTAAAAAAAAAAAGCATAAGAAAATAATTCAGAACAAAGTGGGTTTTTTACCAATTCTGTAATCCAGTCTGGTACATCACACTAAGGCAGCTGTTCTGCCAACAGAATCTAGCCAGCAGAAAATGGTGATGGCTGCAGTTTGACACTTGAAGGTATTTTAGAGGCTTACTTGAAATAATAATGGTCTTGCATGCAGTCTTTGGTGCTTGTGCATGAGCTGCTGCTTGGAGGATACCTTTTGAGCTTCCTGGATTTTGAGTGCTTTCACAGCTTTGTTTCACTGACACATTATTAAGCACAGTCTTGTGAAAAGGAGAATTGATAAGGAAATGTATTGTAAAGCTCTCCCAGTACAATTCTGTACCTCACTGTAGGATTCTTCTTTCCCAGCCTACTCACATTTTTCAAAAGGGATCTGGGATGGATTCTGCAGTGCTTTTCCCTGAGAAGGTGTGGTCACTGAAAAGTGTGCAAAGCAATGGATGGTCAGAATTTGGATATGGTGAAGATGCAGTAATGAGAGCACTGTGATGCCCTCCAGTTCAAATTCAGAGAACTCTCTGTGGAGTAGATTTGGTACATTAAAGCCCCTGAGTGTGTAAAATTGTGGCTACTGTGGGAAGCTTAATTTACCTGATGAACTCTTGAGGAGCTAAGGGAGTAATTGAGATGCCATAGGTGAAGCAGGTGATTCCCTTATCAATTTGTTTTAAAAACACAATTTTTTTTTATGCTAGCTGCTTAGAAATTACATCATTTCAGTTGAATTTGTTGACTCCTATTTCTGTAGTGTTGGATGAGTTTGATGTTTTAATATGGTGAAAATTGAATTAATGTAAGTCTAAACAATTTTTTTTTTATTCATGCAGGTGAATACAATTTGCTGGAATGATACAGGAGAATATATCTTATCTGGTTCAGATGACACCAACCTGGTCATTACTAATCCCTACAGCAGAAAAGTAGGTTTGTTTCTGGCTGCTTGTTAATTTTCAAATAGGATGCAAGTTAGTATTTTTCAAGGTATTAAAAAATATTTTTAAATATATCAGTTTTCAGATACTAATTATTATGTGAAAAAGATAATATCATGCACTTCCTAGTGTATATAAATGGGAATAAAATCTCACAGTGCTTTAAAACTTGAGAGTTCTAATCCTTTGTGACATTGGTATTATCCCATTTTACGGTACATGGCCGGGCACAAAGGGAACCTGGTCTCACCACAGATTAGTGTCAGGACCAGCAATAGGATTCAGTAATTCTCATGAAATCTTGTAGTCAGATAAACTGTTTTCCTCTCACTTTTTAAAATACTGTATTTTTTGCTCTGTGTAATGTACTGTATGTAATGTCTTTCTGTGTGATGTTATTGGAGTGTCAATCTTGATTAAAACAGTTCACTCCAATTTAAAATTACATTGCTTTGTGTGTGCCCTGCAAGTGGATGGAGAATAATTTGTACTGAAATAAGGGTTGCAATGCAGCTGCAAGACTCCCAGTAGTGCCAGCTGGCATCTATCAGGTAGTGGCACTGTCCCACACCTTTCTCTTGAAGGAACTGCTGATAGTTTGGTAGAACAGATGCTCTGAGCTGTGTCCTCTCAGAGGCTGACAACTAAACCCCAAGGATATGCTCAAAAATTAATTGTGTGGGAGAAACAGAAGGTGTGGTGGAAGAGAGTTTGAGTAGAAAATAATAGTTTGCTTTCCTGAAGGGTTGTGGTGGTTTGGAGTGTTGCCTCTGCCTATAGGTAAGGCCCTTTTGCTCACCTCCCCAAATAAGCCAGAGCTTCCAAACTTTATCTCTTCCTTTCAGTTTTGGTGTCAGCCTGAAAGTTCAGATAAGTATCACTAGGGAGGGTTTCTCTTGGACTGGGAGTTCTGCTGGAAAAGTGGTATCAAAGATAGCTGTGAAGAGGATGATGGATATATTCCAAAGTGAGTGTTGGTGGAGTGACTTGCTGAGTAAGAACTTTTCATGAAAATAAAGGATGTTCAATGTTATGTATTGTGCAGAATTTATTTTAATATCCTACTATGGGATAGTTGCTCATTATATAATTTTTACATTAAAATATTGTAATATTTTAAAGGGTGCTGCAATTTAAAGTTTTATGCTTTCATGGGACAGTTCCCCCCCCGTTGTGTACTACTTCTCTACTTAAACCTTATGAGGAGTGCAGGAGATGTTTTGTTTTCTTTTTTTATTTTTCACAGTTAGCTGAGTTATTTATTTTTTGTAACAGCAGAGGAGAAGATGATTTTTGAGGTTTTTTTTCCCCAGTACATGCAAATGCAATTATAAAACAGCAGGTACCAGTAAGAAGACTCAATAATCAGTGTTATTCCTGAAATGTACTAGAGATGTGATTTTTAATCAGTGTTACAATTATGGTAGCTTATTTTTTTTTCTGGCTTGAGTAAGAGGATCTATGCAGGAAAAGGCAGCAAATAGGTATGAGAACTGTGTTGTAATTCTGTCATCTTGGCAAATATCCTTATTACCATATTTTCTGTTATTATCTAGGTAGAGTAGCAGAAATAGACTTCATTCCATCAATATTTTGTATCTTTCAGAATATGCAGATACATTGTTAAACTTTTTAGTGGGAATTATTTAAAAGGTGTGAAATAGCACTTCTGAACTGTTAGTCATGAGCTGCTACTGACAAACTTCATTTGCAAAACACTTCCTTTGATTAAGTTAATTGAGTGGAAATTTGGAAGTAATTTTCATACTGTAAACAACTTGGTGAGTATTTCTTTCCTAATGGGAGTGGTGAAAATGCAGTTTGCTTCAAGTGCTGCAGATGGGAGAAATAAGAATATAATGTTTACTTGTTCACAGGAAAGCATGTGGAGGTTTTTTCAGTTTTGGTAAACTAAATATGTGAGGAAGGATAAAGAGTCACCCCAAAGTGTTTAAAATCAGCTGTGAATGGTGAAGTAAATCATATGTTTCTCTGTTTTCATGTTGATGAATGAGAGTCTAAGTCAAGTCCTGGTTTATTTCCCTGTATAATCAAGTTCTTAAATGTTTATTTATTTTTTGCTAGTTTCAAAACATTCTTCTTTATAAACATCAGTTCTCCTTTTTAGAGTGAGTTTAAGAGTAACATCAAATTTTAAAGTCTATAAAGTTGGCTTGGATTGAAGTGCCTTATTCTTCTTGACTTACAATGTCCCAGATATTCGAAGTCTCTCCTCACTGATGTGCTGAGTGGCTGCACCATCTGACTAATGTTTCACTTTGAGAAACCTGATGTGCTCTGGAACCAACATTGTAAAAACAAAGGTGGCAGCTGCATTCCAGCCCTTGTATTTTGCAGACTGCTTTGTGCAAGTGCCTGAGCACATCTCTCTTGTAAGAACCACGTTGTTCTTAGAAGAAATTCGGTGTAAAGGCAGCTTGTGTGTTGTGTTGTACTGAACTGTGCATACTGGCAGCCTGTGCATAACTGGTGTTTCACAGTCTGAGTTTTTTCCATCCTTTATTTGCTTGGAAAACACTGACCTGCTGCAGCCTCGTTTTTTTCTTGTTCTTTAGGTTCTCACAACGATTCGCTCAGGACACAGAGCCAATATTTTCAGTGCAAAGTTCCTGCCATGCACCAATGACAAACAGATTGTTTCTTGTTCCGGAGACGGAGTCATTTTCTACACGAATGTTGAACAGGATGCAGAGACCAACAGGCAATGCCAGTACACCTGCCACTATGGGACTACCTACGAGGTACCTCCTGAAATAAATCATAAGTTTAAGATGGGGAAAACATGTATTTTATTGTATTGGTGCCCAAGATTTTAACCAGGTTGTTGAAAACTTTGTTTCAGTGCAGTGAGAGTTACAGAACTTTCTTAACTTTCTTCTGTCTTTTTTTAATTGCTTTTTTATCTCATTTAAAAAGTAGACTTGAACAGAGAAATGTGCTGTCTGAATTAAATTGAAAACTTTGTAAAAAATGGTACTAATGAAGACCTTTGTACATATGAATTCACCTTCGCTGAATGAATATTCTGCAGAGCAAAGCAGACTAAAATTGAGCTCTGAATTTCTTCCTGAAGTAGGCTGGGGGGTGGGGGAAGTGATTGTTTTGCATTTTTATTTTTATTCTTCCCCCCTGCCCCTCCCCTCTTCCCTGAACTTTTCAGCAGTTTCATGCCTTTTTCACAATTTAGATTCTTCTAAGAAATGCTTAGCTCAGCATGTGTGAACAACTTAATCTGAAAAAAAGTGTTTACAGTTGTAGATAATTTTTCTATTGTGTATTCTAGTTAACTCTTTAGGTGTAAATTTAGCCACAGTCTTTTCAGTCCTCCCTTGGAAGTTTTGTTCATATAAATTAGGCAAGTGAGGAAGCAAAGTATTACTGAAGTAAGGAAAATAGAAAGATTTATTGTTCTACCTGCTTCTTTTAAATAACAGCAAAAGCTGCTGCTTGCAAAACTTACTATGCTTAAAATAGAAAAAATTGTCAATTTTTTGGTAGGTTATAAGTGTTCCTGTTTCTTTCACTGTTTATTTGTTGGGGCTTTTTTAACACTACTGCAGTACACACACAGGGGAAAAATCCCAAATCCACTGTTTTTTTATGTATTCAGCTCAGATTTCATAACAAGCTTTTAGATCACTTTCTTTGCATGTTAAATGAATAAAATCTTTAAAACTTCTCATAAAAAGAATTGAGGTGTGTGAAAAAAGAAAGTGGCTGAAGTACTGCCAGAGTAAATTTTTGTTCCTGTAGTAAAAGTGTCCTTGTGGTTGTAATTACACCAATTACATTTCCCTGCTATATTGCACCATCAAAATGGTCTTATTTGGGATGATTTTTATTCAGCAATAATGTTAACAAGAGGGCAGGGCATTATTATTGTTTTGAATGACAGGAGTGTGGTACAGTTTTGGTTGGTTTTGCTGCTTTTAAACACTGTTAATGGAAGGAATATCAAAACCTCCATAGGACACTGGCTGTTTTAACAACTCTGTCTCTTTATGAGGTTATTTTTCTTATCCTATTTTGCACTGAGGTTGGGAGGTTCCTGGAGTGGAGAGATAATTTCTAAATATTGTGATGGTACTGCCCAGCTGTATGTAACCACATCATCATGTTAAATATAGAACTTTGACTCACTGGCTTCTCTGAATAACAAAAGCCAAAAGCTACCCCTGAGGTACCAATTCTAAATTTGAATGTGGTTTGGATTTATGCAGCTCTTGGAGTTTGTGGCAGTTCAAGACATTACAAAAACATGAAACAGGAGTGTGGAAATTGGTGTAGATTGTTGTAAACTGTGAGATATTTGTACAATTGTTTTCAGTTCTGAGTGAGAATAGAATAAGAGAGGGCGAGGCTCTTGAGATATGTTTCTGAGGAATTTATTGTTTGTACAAGACCTTGACAAGTTTGTTTTTTCTCAGCCAAATCTTTTCTTTATTGCCCTTCATGTGAATTGTGTTTCAGAAAGGGAATGTACTTTTATGAACACCTCTTACTTTCTTGTTTTAAATACAGTGAAGTGATTGTACAGCTATACACTTTTAAAGTTAAGTAGCAAACAAGTTTTTAGTTAGTAAAAAACCAATTTTATATTTATATTTATAATGTGTACTTGTTGAACTTAAATGTAGTAATATTGACTCAATTATCGGGGCTTGCACTTCTCAATTTCTCTGGTTTAGTGCTTATAAAGAACTTAGGATGTTTGTGAATACTGGACATAAAAGTTCCCATGTGCAAGTTATATTACATGGATAGGGTGAAATTGCATCAGTGTGAACAAAAATAAAACACAGCTACTAAAAATAAGAGCTTTTCACATTCAGCAACATTATTGGAGCAAAATGTTTTCACTGAAAGCTCTGCTACATGCTTGAAGAATTTAGTGGATTGCTAACTTTTATAGCTATGCAAATGAAGTTAATTTGAATGAAATATGTAGTGAAAACCAGTCTTCAATATGTTACACTGATATATTGAAGAATTGTGGTCATAGCTCAGCAGTTCTGTTGGTATTCAAACCTTGCCTTTGTTCTGCAAGTTAGACTTCTTATTTGGCACAGCAAGCATTGTCTCAATTACTGTGCTGAGCCTTAGAAGAGAGGCTGAAGCCTTCAGCTGTTACCTTTGTAACCCCATTTCAGGTAGAGAGATTTGCAGATATCATTAAGTTACTTTTATTAAGAATTTTGGGAGGTGGGGGTGATAAATCATCTCATTTAAAATGTTAAAGAATGGCTCATGCTCTGTGTTCCATGAATGTATTACACTGTTAGCCATTGTTGTTGCTTTATAAATGTCTACTGATAGTAGAAGGAGTGTAGGAGAATAAAAATACTGCCACAACATTCTCTGTTTTCTGTTCTAAGAGACAGAGTGTAAGTAAACTGGCATTTCCTGTGCATTCACTGACCTGTGGAATTCAGGTCATATTTAACATTATGGTCACTTGCCTTTTTATCTTGTCTTGAGGAGGCTTTGAGTGAAGCCATTCATGTGAGACTCCCTCTGAGCTGTCCCTAGCTGGAGAAGGGCTGAGCTTAGGAAAATGGTTCAGTACAGTGCTCTCTCAAAAAAAAAAATTAAAAAAATATTGTAGTGAGGAGGTAGCTTGGTACCAGCCTTTAATGCAGACTTGCTGTAGGGAACTACCTAGGATGTAAAGGAATAGCCCAATGGGAATAAAAGCCATTTAGTATTTTCAAGGCATTCACACTTCTGAGGACTTTGTTTGTAATTGTCTCCTATTACTTGATAGAGAATAAACAGAGCTTTTGTTGATTGTTGCAGCAAACTGATAAGTTATCTGAAAAGTGATTGCAGTAAATGTATGTTATGCATTAAAAGATAATAGAAACAACTGTAAGCCTTGACCTATGGAAATTTAATCTTATGTGACATTTAAAAGTTTCCTTTGACTTCAACAGTTCAAACCTTTTCTTGAAAATAAGGAAACATCATCAGTTTTTCATTTTTTCTCATTACTTCACTGGAAAGCTTGACTTGAGTCCTAACTGCCTTACTGCTGCTCCAAATATTGATGCTTTTATTTTTAATTTAGTGTTATTTCTGGAGGCATTAATAATCTTATTTTTTTTTTTCTTTTGAGCAGATTATGACAGTACCAAATGATCCCTACACTTTCCTCTCTTGTGGTGAGGATGGCACTGTGAGATGGTTTGATACTCGCATCAAAACAAGTTGCACAAAGGAAGATTGTAAAGATGTAAGAATGAAACCTTAATAAAGATTTCTTTAAAAATAATAATAATAAAATAAGCAAAATAAAAGAGTAATAAAAATCTTTTAACAAAGATTACCTAAATGTAGAGCTGTGCATCACACCAACACATGATATGAATTCTGGTAAAGCTTTTAGAAATAATAGATTTCAGGGTCATTGGTGGAGATGACAGTATGTTTCCCAAGAAATAATAAAGTCTGGGGAGTCTTTTTTCATTTTTTTTAAATTTTATTATCTCCTTTGGCATTTTTTTAATTAAAAATTTATAAAAATGCTTTGGTGTGAGGCTTCAGATATGGTAGAAAAAAATTGTCTGTTGAAATTGAATCTTTTAGTCTGCTTTACACTAATAATGTAGAATGCAAAACTGGAGGCAAAAAATGAGCCTTGAGAATCACTTGCAGCCTTGTATTCTTGAGCATCCTTTGTCCCTCTGTAAGAAATGATTTAGTAATGAATTATATTAGATTACTGGTATTACCAGTGTCCACTGTGTTTGAATTTTAGAAAAAATTTTAATATTGAATTGGAACAAAATTATCAAAGTATGTATTGCTAGTCTTGATTAATTTTGTTCAGCCTTGTGCACATTTACCAGTTCTAGGGGTTTCTTTAATTTTTTCCCCTTTACCCAGTTATTGGCCTGTAGATGCAACCTCCTGTAATCCTTTAATTGATTTAAACTGTTTCTGCATATTTAGTACTCTTCCACCTCCACAGTTACTGTGTTTCCATAAGAAAATCCAAGGTGCAAGGTAGTTTATAAGTCTGTTTAGCTTATCTATCTTTAAATGTTCCTGTGTTTTTGTTTTGATTAGGTTTCTTTTTCAGTTGTTCTGGTACCAGCTTTCTTTCTCTGATAGTTTTCCTTCTGTGCAGTGGCTTTTCTGATAACACATTTATGATCTACCTTCATAGGCCAGACCTATTTTCTCAAAATCTGCTTGACTAAGGGAGGGGCTTGTGTAGTGAAACAAAACAAAACAAAGAATTATACTTCAAGTGTTCAGAGCTATTATTTCAATGCTGCATTTTTGTGTGTTCCAGGATATTTTAATAAACTGTCGTCGTGCTGCCACCTCTGTTGCTATCTGTCCACCCATCCCCTACTACCTGGCTGTAGGCTGTTCTGACAGCTCAGTGAGGATCTATGACAGGAGAATGCTTGGCACAAGGGCAACAGGTAGGAGCCACATTGTGCAGTGAGCCTTTCTACCCACTGGCTGTGCCACATTCAGGTTATTTTCAAAATAGGTGGTGAATGACTCAAGTGTAACACTGCAAAAGTGTAGCTTCCTTCTGTGGGAACTATGGCTTGTAATAGTAGAGTCATTTCACTCTAATATTTCCTAATGCAAAAGTCTAATCTCTTCATGCATCTCAGAATGCATTGTGTACTGAGTGCAGAAAAGGACTTTTTGTAATGTCTCTTATTTTGTCTTGAAACGTGTGATTCCAGGATTCCAAAAAGCCAGGGATTGCAGCCTCCAGTGGTTCAGCTGAATTTTAATTAAGTTCTTGTCCTGTACTCTACCATGCTGGAACTTGATGCTTCTTATGGGAGGAGATCTCATGAACTCCATAATATCCTGCACTGTGCTTGCCTTTGTAGTGCAAAGACACTAAATTCCTTTCTCATTTGTGTGTAGATATGGATCTGCATCATTATTTCGTGGTTTTTGGTTCTAAAAGTTCCATTTGTGCCACATTTGACAGATAGCTTCCATACAACATCATGTGGGTGTGTGAGACATTTATATAAGTGTGTGTGTTTTCATCTTTTATTTTTTTTGTAATGTACATAGAGTTTGTAAACAAAAATAATTAAGATGGTAAAATCTGATACGTCATTCTCCAGATCAAAATTATTGTAGAAACTACAGGATACATTTTTGTTGGATCCCAAAGAAGGGGTTTATTGAAGCTGTTGAAAATTTGCAATAGTAGATGTGTAATTCATTTCTTCCTCATCTCTTTCCCCTCTCTCTTTCCCCTCTCTCTCCTTTTCTTTTTTTTTTTTTTTATATATATATATATATAAAAAGGGAATTATGCTGGCCGGGGCACTGTTGGAATGGTGGCACGTTTTGTCCCTCCTCATCTCAACAACAAATCCTGCAGGGTAACATCCCTGTGTTACAGTGAAGATGGCCAAGAGATCCTTGTGAGCTACTCCTCAGATTACATTTACTTGTTTGATCCCAAGGATGACACAGCACGAGAACTTAAAGTCCCTTCTGCAGAAGAGAGAAGGGAAGAGGCAAGTGGTTAAGATGACCTCCTTTCATCTTTTGTGTTTTATAGCTTGCAGCACACAAGAAATACCATCACTTGTGTTCCCCTTTAATCTGAAAATAATGTTGCTGTTCGTAGACTGAGGTGTGACAAGTAGATTGTCACAAAAACTGTGTATTTTTAATACATATTTATGTATTTATTTACAACATTTTGTCACTCTGGTTTTCCTGCTCATCTGGTTTCCCTCTCTTAGAGATGAGAAGGCATCTGCCTGAACCTTGGTGCATAAGACCAGCAAGGCTGGCAGGTCACTCTGTGTTCTGTTACTTTTCATGCCATGAGAAGCATATTCCTTGACATTAATGCTCCTTGATAAAAGTCATCATTTCCTGGCAGATATGAGGGAGTACAAGATGTTTAGATCAAACTTGTGCATTTTGTTGATAAGTGTTCTGCTTATTCATGGATAGTCTGAACATAAGGCTGACGTTTGGTGTTTTGGTGACAGATATGAATTTAGGTGACTTAAGAAAATGCAGATTTATATTTAGGCTTAGAATCCTGTACTGTAGAACATAAATAGCTGTGTGATGCTTTTCTCTCTTTTTTTCTCTCCCCCAGTTACGTCAGCCTCCTGTTAAACGTCTGAGGCTCAGAGGGGATTGGTCAGATACTGGGCCAAGAGCAAGGCCTGAGAGTGAGAGAGAGAGAGATGGTAAAAGCATTTGCATTTGAAGGGGGGTTGTTGTCTTTGCTGCTGTGTTTTGTTGGGTTTTTGTTTCATTTTGGGGTTTTTTTCTTGCTTTGGTTTGGGTTTTATTTTCCAGTTTTTCTGACGTATTCCCAAAATACGTGCTTCAGATTGTCGTTGTGTTAACAATCAGCCAAGCCTTAAGATGGTTTTCTTAGAATTTAGCACAGAGCTGCTATTGTACAATGATTCTTAAAATTGAAAATATTGAAAATATTCTTAGCAGGAAAATTACATTGTTTCATTTAGGCTGCTGTAAGTAAAGGAGAGCTTTTTTTTCATTGTCATTGCTCAGGGACTAACACCAGCACTTATTTCTTTTTTTTCCCAGTCACACCTCATATGCAATCATAATTACAAATTAAATGCTCTTTAATGGTTACATTAGGGGACTGGAATTCAAAGCAATAGGATTCTAATATTATACTTTGCATTTTTATAATGTCATTTAGTTACACAGGGTGGCTAAATTTTATGCTTATATTTTCATGTTTATAATATATTACTCAATTGCTTGAGATTTTAGTAAATAAAGCATTTCCAAAACAATGCTTGGGTATCAAAAATTGGGATATCAAAGCAGGGCAGAGCCTTTTCTGTCACTCATCTTAATTTTCATCTAATAATGTGTTTCTGTTTAAATCTGACATGCTCTGGGATTCCAAGCATTTGATTCTAGTTCCCTTAAATCTTCCACCCTTTTCTGCCTACAGTTTCCCTTTCCAGATTTTCTGTGCTGTTGTTCTCATTTTCCTGCTTCCCCAAACTAGAGTAGAAGTGTCTGGGATTCTGTACCTGACACAGGCAGTAGGAGATGCTGTTTAGGGAGAGAATGTGAGCCTATCCTCTTACCTTAGTCTGTCTTTTTGCTCCTCCATTATTTGGAATTACTGGATTAGAAACACTGGGGGGTGTGATCTCATCTGCTCCTTTACAATCTGCATGTGGTTCTGTTGCCTGTGGGCTTCTGAAATCTTTTTTTGAATATGTTGATAATATTCCCTATGGCATCTGTAGCCACCTTTAGTCTGTTTTCTTTGGCTGTTGCAATTCCATTTTTTAAGGTCAGAGCTGTACAGGAGGGGAATGAGGGATCCCAGCAGAGGGTCAGAAACCTGTGCTGTGGAAATAAGGATAGACAGGGGCATTGGGAACAGGCTGAAGGGAACTGTTCCTTGTGGGAGAAGGGGGTGAGGGGTGGTCTCCATTCCTGGAAGAAATGAGGGGGGGAAAGGTACTTTTTGGTAAACTTGTAGATGAAACTTCAGCACCACTTGTTCTACAGGGGAGCAGAGTCCCAATGTCTCTCTGATGCAGAGGATGTCAGACATGCTGTCAAGGTGGTTTGAAGAAGCCAGTGAAGTTGCACAGAGCAATCGAGGACGGGGAAGATCACGGTCCAGAGGTGATTTCCTTCTTTTCAACAACAGAACTTGTGTTTATAGTGGATGTGCAGGCTTGGAATATCAGCCTTTCCTAGGTGTAAATAAAATTTTAGTGCACTGAAGAGCTGAGCACATTTATTTGCCATAGGAATGATAGTGCACAGGGATCTTTAGAGGCAGAGTAAGTTTACTTTTGAGCTCTTTTTCTTGCTTTTTTGTTCTATTTTTAATCAAAGGTGGGACTAATCGGACTGATGCTCCTTCTACTAATAACATGGCACCTAGTAGAGAATCAGAAACTGCAATGGAAGTAGATGGTTCTGAACAGCTTCCATCATCTTCCTCTTCTACCATGTCAGCTCAAGCTCCTTCAACATCATCTTCGACTGAAAGTCCCCCTTCAACTTCATTACTGTCCTCTCCTGATAATGAACAAAGGCCTTCTTTTGGGGCCTCAACTCAGCCTGTGCTGCATCAGTCTGGTGAGAAGAAATCCATCTTGTCATTGCTTGTGAAAAATAAGAAACAATTCTCTTTTAGGATATTTTGGGTAGTTGATCTCCATCTGTTTTCTTCCTTGCATATCCTTAATGAGTCTTAGGTGTTTTATAGTTACCTGGTGGTTGCAGCTGTGGTTTAAAGAAAGAGTAAAGCCATCAACTCTATACCTTTGTCTGAAAAAGAAATTTGCAAGGGGATCACCAGTATTTTGAAGTAGAAATAAAAACTTTTTGCTTATTTTTTTCTAAACTTACTGTTGTCTTCATGGACTATAGTGACATCTTGCCCTCTTCCACTGGGATTTGGCTGTAGCAGTATCAGTGCAATGAATAGTAGAACCTGTGCATGTTAAAATCAGGGGAGGTAGGGGATGCCTCCTTCAGGAGGAACCTCCATCCTCAATGTTTCAGAGTCAGAATCTACCATATTAAACATAATTGCTTCAAACTATGTCATTGAAACTTTGTGGGTTTCAAAAATATAATGCGCCAGAGAGGATTTCTGGAATTGTGATACATTTTCTAGCCTGCATTTTAAGGAATCTATGCTGACCAGAGACATATTTTTGTCTGAATGTGTTTGAATTTCTAAGCAAAAGTTTATTCTGCTAGCATGAAGCTGAAGTTATATCTTAGTCTGGCTCTTTTCTAAGATTATTTCTTCTTTATCAGTGTTACTTTGGACTTCAGAATATATTTAGTTTTGAAAGGGGTATTGAGGTTTGGTTGACAGACAATGGATACTTTCTAATTTGCTGTATAATATTTGTTAGATTCTTTGACTAAATCTAAGTAGGGTGTCAGATTGGCAGCTTAAAATTGTCTACAGGACTCATGAAGGCATAATTGTAGTAGTTCAAGGTGTTTGCACACCTAATAAGCATCCTGTTTCAGAAGCAATGCAAAAGGGATACTAGAATGACTGTAAAACAAGTTTTTGGGTACCATGGTGAGTTCAGGAAGAGGGGAGGCTCCTGGGCAGGGGGGTAGCACTGGGTCTATGAATGAGCAGGCTGCATTGGGAATGTCCATTTTGCAAGGTTTATGTACCCTGGTATCCTGTGGCTGTGCTCAGTTGTGAGATTTTATTTACTCACAGTCTGTAGTCTATAAATCTATCTGGAAACATGCCTTCTCCATCAAGGACAGGATTCCCTGAGCTTGTTCACCTGCTTTTAAAGGTGAATCAAACCTGCTGCTTTTTTGGGGTGACAGGAGAGGGAAAGTGCTAATAGGAATAGTGTAAATACAGTGGGGCTGAGTAGGAAGCCCAGACAGAGGTGTGTTATAAGAAGTGGGTGACTGGGAAAGCATTTTGGAAGGAGGAAGAAGGAAAAAAGGTTTTCAGCCACTATTTTGTGTAAAGTCATGGCAGCTACAAGTTTGACTATTGTAGCAAAGAATCAGCAAATGAAGAACTTGTTTTCAGGAAATGACTTCTTTAGAATCAGAGCATGAGTTCCTAACCCAGGCCTGTAAACAGCTTTCCATAAATAATTTCTACACTCAACACAGGCACTCATGGTAATCCTGTGTTTGAAATCACAGTACCTTTGCATAAGTATACAGTTCCAATTTATTGTTGGTTTGGTGTTCCAGAAAACAGATCATGTGGTGAGCATTTGAGCTTCTATATCTGAATTACTTTTTAAAAATTAAGAGATGAAGTGTCCAAAAATGAGTCAGTACAGAAATGGTTTGGTGCTGGGTCTTGGTGGGATAGATTTCCTTAGCAGAAGATGTATTCTAGAAGTTTGAACATTTAAGTTACAATTAAACAACAAAATCAGTGCAAAATCTCAGTAGCCTGTTATTGCCAGAACATTTGAATAATTTTTAATGTATATATCTAATGAGAACAATTGTTGGAGATTGTCATGCTTGTCACTAAGGAAAAATACTACAAATTTATTTTCTTGCCCTGCTTGTGCCATTCAGTGGAAACTTTTAATTTTTGTTTATTAGTTTTAAGATGCTGATGTTTTAAACCACTAATAAAAACTAGGTACAACAAACAGTAAAATATAATACAGTTTTTCCTCATAAATAAAATTCCAGGTACACACGGGGAATGGGATGCAGGGGCCCAGTTGTCTAATTAGTACAAAGCTTAACCCTAATATGTGTTCTGATATAAGGTAACTGCTTTTAAATTTTGAATGGAAATGTGACAATAACTGGGTTTTTAAAAATTTATTTCTATTTCTTCACTCCATTTGCTGGCAAAATAAACATTTGCTTAGATATTCTGGAATATATTGAAAGGTGTTGTCACTGAGCATATCCAGGATAGCAGCTTTTATATTTGGTATTGTAGTTCTTGTTACATCTTAAATTGTGGCTGTCTCTTAACTCAGTGGAACTGAATCAGCAGCAAGTACTGAAAACTGCAATTTTAGGCATCATTGAAATTCCCATAAAAGCATTCCCTGGGCTATTTGGAGTTTTTCTTTCCATAAATGGTTCTGGGTTGTGAAAATAATTCAGAGCAAATCTCCCTGATGCCATATTCCTTTTAGGATCTATGTCTTTAGTTTTGTTACACCTTTTCAACCATAAACTGAGAGTATGTTTTTCCCAGAAATGATGTTAGACTAAGTACATTAAACCTCATGACCATTCAGTATTTTAACTGATGCTTGTCACTAACTTTCCTATTACTGGATTCTGGTTTTGGGTTTGTTTCTCTTTATAAAAGAAAATTTGTTCATTTCACTGTATGGATAAGGGTTACAGAACATTTGTTAAGCTTTTGCCTGGCTGAAAGGCCCCATGCCAGTGTAATGCTCTCTACTATTTTAACATTGTGTGATTCAGGCACTGCTATTAAAGACACAATCTGTGTTATTTAAAGAGGAGCACTTGCCACACAGCACTTGTGTAAGTGGAGGAGATCTGCAAAGAGCATGGAAAGAATAAAAAATTGCTTGGTCACCTCATTTTATAGCAGTTTGCAAAAGTACTGGTAATCAGGCAATGAACTTAACATACCAAAATAGTTTAACTGGGAAATGAATAAAGACAAAATGATGAAAACAGTGAAGCCTCTAAAGATGGGACTAAAAGAATAATCTATTAAGAGGATGCTACTAAGGATTGCTTCTGATCCTATAAATTACTTTGTCTGTAGGACCACTTAACAGTGATTTCAGACTGTGAATCCTTAAGCACAGGCAATGTCTGAAATTAAAAATGAATTCATGGAGAAGTCTATTTTTTGGTTTAGCTGTTGTTCTGCCACCTCTTTCCATAGTTCCAGTTTACTTCTTGCACTAGTTTGATTTGATCAAAATGTACCTGGTTTTTTTTGGAACTATCAGGAAGCTATTACATTCATTTTGCAACACTACCTGTAGACCACAGTTGCATAGTTTTACACCAAATATTCTCATTTATTCTGTGTGTTAGGAACACCAAAATGAATACATCTGTTGTGTGCTTTGTTTTGATTTAACCAGGCTGTATCTATTTTCCTTAACTAATTCTTTGTTTAATGGTTTCATTGCTGGAGATGGGGAGGGGGCTATATTGTGTGGCACAAATCCTGGACATTTAAATCCTGTGATTCATGCCTTTAGGAAGAGAAAACCAATTTCAATATTTCTATTTGATGATTTCTGGCTGTCAGTAATTTTTTTTTTCACTGTAATGACACTTAGTACCTGTTGCTTGTCTCTTTGGTCAGACCCCCACCCCTCCTCTCTGTTCTATATATTGATTGCTCAATGCTTCTCTCTTCCCCCCTTTGTCTGTCTCCCCTCCCTTTTGTCAGAGTTAATGGGACCCGAGTTAGCAATAATCCGTAGGGGCCTGCAGCGACTGAGGCTTAAGAAGGCAGAGCAGCAGAGACAGCGAGAGCTGGCTGAGGGTTCTGCACAACAGCCCTCCTCTTCTGAGCAGCCCACCCCTAAGGGCTCCTCACAGGACCCTCAGGCAGCAGGTTGTCACTTGCCAAGGTTTCTCCAGCAGATGATGTAGCTGTAGTTTGTGCTGCTGTTGTTTGCTGAGATGCTTCTCCTCCAGAACAAGGCATTTGCTGCATTCGCTGCTTGTCTTGCCTTGCATGTGGTGGTGTTTATCATCACATGGTCAGGGAAGCGGTTGGATGGACAGGGTTATTGATCTGACATGTTTGGGTTGAGTGACACCGTGTGGAAATGGTTTTCCAGGTGCATGGTATCGGGCTTGCACAATGGTCGTTAGAGCAGCTGAGCAAGAAATTGCAGTGTTCTGAGTAGAAGGAGAATTGCACACTGAAATTGTGTTTTGGTGCTACTTGGATCCAACAGTAACATTTACGACTTGGCTTTGGGTTAGCATGTGTTCTAAACCAGAGTTACAATTCAGTAAAACAGAGTTTTGGCACTCTTCAGTGCTATGGTTTTACAATAAGTGTAGTGAAAATACTCGTACCTAGCCAAAGTCCCCAGATATACTCTCCTTTTTTTTAACAGAGCAACTTTTCATTTCACCATCCTCTTTCTCTCTTGTCTTACAGAAATTAAAAATGATTACAAGAACACCTCAAATATGTTTGCAATAACATATTTGAGAAAGTTAGGGCAGAAGCATGCATATGAATAAAGAGGCAAACCCTAAAGCATAAACTTGAAGCAAACTTTGTCATGGCACCATGCAAAAATGAGTGAGCTGCATGCTGTGTGAGAATTCAGTGTATTTTGTGTTGCAAAGTCATGTCTAGCAGTGTCTCTGCTGTGGATAAATCCTGTGACAGTTGAGATGTGGCTAAATTGCTTTTAAGGATTGTGTCACACATTTACAGCTATCTTGCCATGGTTCAGTCTATTCCTTAATCTGGAGCTCCACAGAACAATTTAATGTAACAGTGGCTGATGCTCTAGTCACAATATGCAGTTACTGAATTTTGAATAACTTTCTACACTAAAAAATACTGCAGTGAGGTTTTAGAGTGTTTTGGAAACCAGTCCATCCTGGGAGGGTCTGTGCCTATCTTAGGGATGGCAACCATGGGTGCCTGTTTACCTGTAGGAGAACAGGAACAGCAGTGGTAGTGGTGGCCTTCTAGGGGGCTGCAGTTTCCTGCCAGGACACAAAAAACACACCTCAAAAATCTACCAGTTTTGGTTTTGTCTTTTTTTTTTTTTTTTTTGTCCAGCAAACTGAATATCAGAATTTATTAACTCAAATTTAAGTATTGATAGAGGAAAAATTGTAACATAGTCAATAAATCTTGATCTCCCATTTCCTTTTCAGAATGGCTTAATTTTTAATTTTTTTTTTTTTTTTTTTTGCTAAATTCCTTCCCACTGAATTGAAGTAGGGAATAAAGTTTGTTTACAGCCATGTCTGGAGGTTTCTCTGTGGTGATTTTGCAACCTCTGAAGGGAGTGTTGGTCTGGGTTTCACTTGGTACATCTCTCCCATCTCTTCCTTAGTGCTCCTTCAAGGATGCATTGTAATTTTTTTACTCCCTGTTGCCTGTGGGGTTCCTGCAGCACGGTGGGATCCATAGTGCCACAAATGGAAAGGTTTAGCTGAGTAATTGCTTTGATTTGGAGGCAGAGGGGTCTTGTACATAGTTTGGACCTCCCCAACACTGCCTCTTGGAGTTTTTTGAGTTCCCACATGGTTAGAACTTCAAGGGAACTCTTGGAAACATTCAGTCCTTTTGTTTGGGATCACCAGGAGCCACAGACACAGCCTTGGAGGAAACTAATATTCAAGCATTTATCTCTTTCTGCATGTAAATGAATTTACATTTACATTTTACATTGTGATATCATGAATTACATGACAATGAATTTGCAAATTTAACCATTTTACATACTAAATAATTGCTTTGAAAGACAGATTTACTCAGTGCTATGGAAACATTTATTTCTGGGGAGACAATAGGGGAACCATTTTTCTCCCTGACTTCCAGCCCATCTGGATGTATCTTATTGAGGTCTGGTCTGGTGGGTGGAATTGTTGTCCTCAGCAGTGGAAGTTATAAAATGAGAAATTTAGAATTGAAAATATTTAATATGTTTGGCCAATTAGTTCTAGAGAAATTTGATAAAAGATTATACTGTCTTTTCCTTTCTATTTGTATGTGTAAGAATAATATATTCCTGTTGTGCTTTGTCAGCTTCTTTCATTGCATTCCTCCTTCCTCTGCTCTGGGAGGGACCAAACAAAGCTCATTTCTTTTGACTGGGGATCTCCTTTGCACTTTTTATTTACTTAATAAGATTTCTGCAGTCTGGACATGGAGATATTCTCTAATATTCTCTGTACTTGCTCTTTTCTTTTTTTGAAAGTTACTTTGTTTTGTTTTCCTTTTCTGACCTCCCAAGATTTATTTTTGTAAGTTGCTTATTCATAATCTATTCCTTTGGAAAACCAGATCTGCACATTTTTGGTCCCTTGTTTCTCCATAGACACAATTGTTTTCTAACCCTGTGCTTAGCTGGTTATTCAGAAATACGGTAGGAGAAAAATAAGTGAGTAGTTTTGAATTGTTTGGAGTCTTTTAAATGTAATAAATTCCTATACAGAGACAGTCTCTATTTTTTTTCCTGAAAGGTTGTCTTTGCTGCCCTGTCAGGAGGCGGGTATTCCATTTTCAGGCACATACTAGATGTAAATTTTCAAACAAAAAAATTACACCACAAAATGTGTCTGCAAGTTCTCAATCCCTGCTCCGATAAAACCTGTATAAATTGCAATTGCAATTTTGAAGGGAATTCAGTGTGAGACTAAGGCCACTTCTTCTGATTCGTACTTCATTATTAATCCTTATCTTTGCAGGCACAGAAGCTTGAGTAGGAAGAGAAAAATATCCCAGCCATGTAAGAAATAACAAGTAGAAAATGTCAAGAGCTGAAAGCTTTTGCAGGTTTAATAGAAAATTAGACTGTGTGGTAGTTATTCTGTCTCCCAGTTACAAGAGCATTTGTAAGATCAATCTGTAGTAGTTAACCTATTTAGAAAAATATGGTCAAAAGTTTATAGTTTTGAATGTGAAAGGGAGATTGACTCTGAGACAAAAGGTCTCAGATGACAGAGATTTTGTTTTAGTGGATACTAAATTTGGAATTTGGCTGAATTTTAGAAGCAGTGTGTGCTGCATGGATCAGGTCTATTTTGTCTTCAAGCTTTTGCTTAGGTATTGAATAGATTCAGATATTCTTGGTTACCACTTTATTTAATCAGGGAAACTACAGTAAAAATAATCCAGTAAATAGGGATTTTTATTTATTGTATGATTTCTCCCTCAAAAACCTAGTTTTTCCTTGCATTTTTGTGGCATTTCATAACATTTACATCCTGTGAAGTATTTAAAAAACTGCTTTTATGTGCTATATGCAAACAACAAAGAAAGTAAACATTTTTAACCTGTTGTTATTGCTGCTATGCCACATATGCATCGCCATTACTACATCACTTCTCATTCTGAGAATTTTAAGGAGATGGAATTCAATTTGAAATGATCATGAAATGAAAAAGAAAAAAGGTATTATAGATCAAAGATTCCTGTAGTGGTCATTGTACCTAATCTTACCCACAAAACCATGAATCAACATTAGCCTTTTTTCCTGAGGGAAAAAAATTGATTTATACTGCATTTGCTGTGGAATGCAGATATATCCATGTGCATGATGGCATATTGCAGAACCTGTGCTGCAAACTGACTTTTTTTTTAAGCTTTTGGTTGATCTATACAGTGAGTCTCTAAAGCAGAGCAAACTGGACCTTAATTTCTGTGTTAAAGCTTTTGGAGAAGAACAAAGGAATGGCAGCAGTTTTTATCATTAGATTCTTTGCTAACACTTCAATGTAGAAATTTTATATGAAGATGTAGAAATAATATTTGAAGTGCACAATATGTAAGTGAGAGCATACTCACTGTGCAAAGTAACTATTTATAGTTATTAAATCAAGTATTTAATTTCTTAGATTCCTCTACATGTATCATGTTTAGGACTTCAAAACAATTCTCACTGCTTTAGACCTCACCCTGAAGCTGGTGATACAAGGAAGAGGTTTTTTTTCAACCAAAACTGAGATGGCATGCTAATATTTTGGTGAAGTCAGGTGCTGATTGCCCAAACTATAGGAAGATCCTTCAGCGTATAACTGACCTTAAAATTATCTTCTATTTTCTGTTTGAGGTTCCCCAAATTTATGAATCTCCAGTTCCCTCTTTAAGTGGTGCTCCAGTTTAGAATGTACTGGTGACATTACAACCAGTGGTGAACTGCATTGGGATGTAGACCCAGCCTGTGAAGGCTCAGGTAAGAGTTTGGATTTTTGTTTGTTTTTTTAACTATATGGCACAGTTTTGGTAATACTTTTTTTAAAAAAACTTAATAAGAAATTATGAAAGTAAATTTTTCAGATTTTTCTTTTACAAAACAAAGCCATATATTAAAAAAAGAGGCATTTACCTGAACTTCTCTAGGCTGGTTTCATGGTCATGCTGATTCCCCTGCCTGAGGTGGGGGTTCCAGGCTGCAGAGCCACTTGAGGGGGTGCTGGTGATCTGTGGCTTCAGGGTGCTTGGAAAAGAAAACAAGGAGGTTTCAAATTGCTACAAACAACTCTATTGTTAACCATGCTAATTCAGGTATTTAGGATGTTTCCTATATGTTGGTTAAATATTCATTTATTAAAGTGAAATGCATTCACAGAGTGGTATGGAGACTTGGGTGTAACAGTGAGATGTGGGAGGTGTAAGCCCCCTTTGGCATGGACTTCTACCTGGAAACCTTTTCATTTTCACCTACTGTGGTTGAATGATGCACATGGCAAAACACACCTACTTTTTTACTTTCTGCTGTATAGAGTGAGGTCTTAATAAAATCAGAAATGCTGGTAGGGGTAGTAGAGGTAATTTCTTAATGTTTCTAATTAATATACGTTAGTTCAGTCTTCTGATCATACAGGTCTGAATTACAGAGTTGATGAGATGTGCTTTTCCAGCCAAGTGAAATATTTGGCAGCACAAAATACCTTTTAAACAAGGGCATATGAGCTTTTGGAAAGGATTGGAGTGGAGGAACAGAGCATGGCTGGGATCACTGTCATTCATTAGGTTTCTCAGCTTGCAGTCCAGGGTCTGCCCTCTCTATAGCACTTCTGATACAAGTTAATCCCAGCCATGGACTTTGTGAATCCAAGATCAAAGCCAGCCCTTGAAAGAGGCACAGATTCCTGTGCTGTCTGCTGGAACACAAGGAGATCATCTCATGATGTGGAACATCTGTACACCAGCTTTTTGCTCTGATTAACCTTCTAAAAAGTGGCTTATTAGTCTATTGAAAAAACTCCTCTGTAAATCCTTCTCTTCTGATTTAGGTATTATATATAAAGCACACTTCACTTTTGGGAAGTAAAATATATTAATGCTACAAGTCTTCTACTTAATAGCTACATGCCATAAATCTAGATGATAAATTCTGTGGTCTGACTTAGGTGTGCTTGGTGCAAGGCGTGGGAATGGTTGAGCAAGGAAGACAAACCAGAACCAATTTAATGTTCCTCAGTTATAGAAATAAGCTGTGCAAGTTCCCAAAGCAAGGTACCCTACAGAGCACACTGCCTCAGACTTTCCTGGTCTCTCTCCTTTGCTCCTCCTCCCCTTTCCTGCTCCTGGATATCAGTGTGGCAAAGGAGCACACTGCCATGCTTCCACCGATGCCTGGGAGTGAACAACTGCTTGAGAATATATGTATTTAAAGCAGCTTGGTCAATTTAGCAGGTCTAATGGCTGTACTACAAAACAGGTCTCACTGGTGAGTCTGGCTCAAAGCTGGAAGGGAGCTTCCTGTAGGAGAGAGTATTATTTCATTGCTTTCCTCATATAGGATGTACATTTATGTTAAAAGTCACTTAGCATGCTGTGGTGCTGGCAGACTGTGACTCAGTTTGTAATACAGGATATTAAATCCTTTCAGTTTAGGATGGATTTGTTTATAATAGATGATTATCAAGTGGAACCAAGATATGATACTCTAGCCAATATCTTTAGAATACTGCATTGATTTATGTACATCAGCTCATCTTCAAATACTGGAGAAGTAAGATCTGGTCTTCAGAGGTGACAAGGGAAATAGACTCACAGGAGATACTGAATATTGCATCTGCTGTGTCTGTGCAGTGAATGTGTGCTGGTGATAGTTATTAACTGGTAGTGTCCAGGGGGAAAAAAGGCACTTATCTGCTGAGGGGGGTGATTATTCTATTTATTTGTTTATGTGATTGATGGGGATGCTTGTAAGACTGACAGGTGTTGTACTGTGATAAACTGATCAAGACTTGTTCTCAGTCATCAGAGGTGCAGCATCTAAGAATGCAGAACTACCAAAGTGTCATATAATTGGGATGTATTTTGGTGCTTTGATGTTCTAAAGCATTATTATTAAAAGAGTATTTCAATATTGGAGGTACTGGTATGCCATGAAGTATTTTATGCTGAAGTATAAATATTCTGAAATTTACATTTTGCACATGGTGTGAAATACTGGTGTCATTTGGTAGCTGGAGCAAAGGCTTTAGGAGTCGTGACTCTTCTGTGTTTTTCCTGATATGTCAGAAGTGTGAAGAACAAGTGTAAAATATTTGGTAATGGACAGGCATTTTCATTATCAACATGTCAGCAAGCTTCAGGCTGTTCAGTGAATAAATAATGGTTTGAAACAAGTGGCTTTGCTTCTGTCATGCCTAGAAAATGCAATATGGCTGGCTGCTCATTAAACAAACCCAAAGCTTCCTTATGTTGCTGCTTTTTTATTTTAAACTAACATATGATCGTGACATTGCTGTGCAGTTCTCTGCTGCTTATGTTTTAAGTTGAAATCTCGTTTTTGTTTCAGATTCTCCTTCTTCAGTGGTTAACAAACAGCTTGGATCCATGTCACTTGATGAGCCACAGGGTGCGTGTGACAGGAAATGCGCTATACCCAGCCATAGCTGATTGCAATGCTTCTTTTAAAGTTGCTTTTCATGATGAGAAACAGTCTAAAAATGCTGTTCATCCACATATAGTAGAATTCTGTAAGCAGATCTGCTGGAAACTCATTATTTAATGATCAATATGATTTTAACAGAGTGAGGTTAATTGTTGTTTTTGAAAGCCATCCTAAGCTTGATTCTTCATGCAATTATTATGGTTCAGTGTAGGTACAGTAAATGTCTCATATATATTTTACCGACAGTTTTTACAGTATTTTTGTAAAATGCAAAGTAAAATTAATTATTTGAACAGGTTGGGTTTTTTCTGAATGGTTCTTTTTGGATCAAAGGGCAAATATTAAGATAGCAATAACCTTTTAATTTCATGTTGCCTATTATTTCTCTTATCCATGAGTGATGTGCAGCTTTGTGATTCCTGCATTGTTTGAGTAACTCCAAAGCACCCATTGCACTGAGGTGCATCTTCCCTCTGTATCCCCTTGTCCTTCACCCCTCCTGCTGAACAGGTACTGGTGTTTCTTGTAGGATCCCTGTGGACTCGGGGTGGACAGAATGCTTGGGAGCTTTCTCTGTGCTCACTATACATCAGTCTCCAAACTGTGAGCACTGAAGTGGGCCAGAGGTGACCCTACTCCAGCTGCATCAATGTCATCTCTAGGGAATATTTATGGCTGAATAATTAAGGAGTGATAGATGCTAATTTAAAAATAGATTGCCATACACTCTGCATTATGCTTCCATATCAAAGCGTCTGTAGAGATTTAGTAGCTCAAATCCCACAAAACAGCTTTGTCTTTTTCACATTCCAAACTAGAAAGCTATTTTGAAATCCCACTTCTGAAAAATAGTCTGTTTGGCAGCTATTGAGATTATGGCTTACTTTAGGATGCCAGGATGTTGGGGAAAAAATCAAGCTGCACCTTGACAAAATAAATTCTTTTTGTGGAAATACATTTTGTGGTGACATAACCTTAAACCTTGATGTGTAAATTTGCTAATTATTCATGCTTTAGTAGTCTACATCATTCCAACAATCAGGTTTAGATGGAAACCTTGCTTATAAAAAGTAGCCAAGTTATGCTCTCTTTTCTGAACTCAGAATAAAACATTATTTTGTCAGAGTAGAATAACCTAGAACTAACATAGAAAGTCTGTAAGATTTCCTAAAATTCTTACAACTAAAAATTTAGGAAAACTGGGGTTTTTTCTGCATTAAGTTACCTGAACTAAGCAATTCGCTCTTATAGAATCACTTCAGGTTTTTTAATATGCAAAAAAACCCCAACTCATAATACATTTGCTTCTCAGTTCACCACTTCTCTAATTGTTTTAAGGCAATGTTTTTCTGCTTTGTTAGCAGACAATGTTACTTCTAATTTGTAAAACTAGGAATTTGAAAAAGGAGCAAATTTATTAGGAAATCTTTTGTTCAAATGATAACCAGAAAGAATAGTTTGCTGAGTTCCAGTTGAATTTCTGAAGTTTAACTGCATTAGTTTCATTTCCATTTGAAGTCTCAAAATAGTGTAAGTAGTTAATGAAGGAAGTCATAACAGTTCTTTTCATACAGAATTAGCTTTCCTTGTTATTCCTGCCTTCTCTTAATTTAGTACTGAATCAGCTGTCTTCTGTTGGACCTGTTTCTCTTGTTGGCATTCATGTTTTAGGAATGGTTTTGGGTTTAAAGATCTTTTTATTCTTATTGTAATCCCATCCATTTATAATGCCAACATTATGATAGTCCAGCAGAACCCAGAAGTCATTGCTGTGTGTATAAAATAGTTTGAAATGGATCACAGTCATCTGCACTTGACTTTTTAAAAATGTTTTGCACTGTGATTGTCATAGTGGAGGGCTGGCCTTTACATCTATTGCAGTGTTAGGATTTTTAGGTACTGCCTGAGTTGGAATGAGTTAAGAGGGAACGGGAGGCCTGATTAAATTTCATGTGTTTAATTCGCAGAATTCCTGTTTTTTCTGAAATACACAACTTATTTTCTCCTCTTTGGATCAATTTTTCTCTCTTCCAGAAGTATCTCTCTTAGGTCTTCACACAGAACATAGTGCTGGATAGGAATTATTCTGGGTTTTTTTAAATGAGAAGTGATCTAGCCTCTTCTCATAAGGTTGCCAATAGATGAGTGGACAGAGCAGCATTTGAGATGTGGCAAACTAGCTTGAAGTTCCTTACAGTGTTAGTTTAATTAGGAAATGCAATCTGTAAACTTGTCCTTATGCACTTACCTCTTAATGGTTGAGAGCCTCAGTGTCTGTGAAGTTACAATTGCACAGGTTCATTTTCTAAGGGAAAAAGTGGGTCTGAAGGTTGTTGCTGTCAGTTATGCACTTTGGCTTGTGGATTTGTTTTTCATGTCAGGTTATGAATGAAATTTTGTCTTCAGTTTTAAGAGTGGTAGTTTAAAAGTGTCTCCTTGCTGTAGGCACCTGGAGAATGGACCATCTAATGGGAGTGTGCTTTAGACAGTGTTGTTAATATCTTCAAAATATCTTGTGTTTGGCTGTAAAATTAACTAAAGTTTCAAGGTATTTTTGAGGAATTTAGAATAAAAATTAGTAAGGTGTTGACAAGCTACAGCTTTCTCTTGTAGCAGTGATTACTCTGCTAGAGTTGGCAACCAGATTAATAAACTGAATTGCCTAGATCACAGAATTTGGACCATTTTCCTCTCCTTCCCTTCACTGTCAGTGTGAAGTAGATCTGCCCTGATGGGATGAATTTATTAGAGGAAGAGAACAGACCTTCATTCTAATCTGGGAAGTCTTTAGCCATCACATTTCTCCCAGAAAACAGAGTTCAAGATTTGTAGGGTTTATGTTGTTCTTTCATAACTGAAAGAATGTTCAGTTATGTAGGAGGCAAAGGATTTTCTTCACAGATGCTCCCAGTCAACTTTCATTAGCAGTGTAAATTCAATATCAAATATTGAACCATGCAACTAATTTTTTGCAGTTTATTATCAGATTCTTCTCTCATCTGTCTTTTAAAAAGTTTCTTGTTCTTATTAGTGTCTATGTTATGCCCTAAAGTTACTTGAAAGAAGAAACTGACCCTATCCAAATTGTAGTTGATGTTATTGTAGATTTAGGAAAATGCTATTATCCAGTATGGTTTACAGCTATCTGTTCCCAGAAACTTGTAAAAATAATTTCTCAGTCAGTGCCCTCTTCAGTGAAGTCTACAGCAATTCTTCCAAATTTTGGGTGTGGACAAATATGTTTCCAGAGTAAGTGTAGCAGTCCTTATGCATCTTGGTTAGATTTTCAGACCCTGAGATTTTAAGAAATACAATCCTGGTATTCAGTTAGGTTCGTTGTAGATAGCCAGGTTTGGTTACTTTGATTGGCAGCATTAAGTGGTTTTGTGCTGAAGCCAGCCTTGCACAGCAGTAGGAAGTCCATGAGTTAAGTCATTATTTGGGGGTTGTCTTGGATTATTCACAGTAGGAAATTGTCTGTCTTTAGCTGGGTTCCCAACTCAAAGATCTGCCTTGTCTGAGGCTGTTAAAAGGAAGCTGAAGAATTCTCCCACTCTCACTTTTGGCTTTCAGTGTCAGTTCCTGGTGACTTGTGCGGTATGTGGGATCAATCAATATTTCTACTTGCTGAGGAAGGGATGTTTGAAGTCTGAACAGACATTTATAAAAAGAGATTTTATAAATCATAGATTGTCAAAAAATAGAGGAAGCACCCTTTTAGTTACGAAAGAATGTCACTTTTGTTCAAACTGTCTATATAGCACTATAAAATATTTCCTTGAATTTCTTAGGTTTCCAGTTCCTTAAATAAACTTTCTATTAATCAGTTTTATCCTTGCTCCACTCTAACAAGAATGTAACTGGAACTTTTAATTTAAAGGAGCTATAAGCTTTTCTTCCCATGGAGTGGGGCCCATACCTTGTGCATTATTGGGGTCATGGTTGTAATTGGTTAATTCTTTCATTTTAAAAAAAGTATTCTAATTTGTTCATTCAGGGGTTTTGTGGTATGTTTTGGGTTTTTGAATTTCTCTTCAGAACATGAGAAAGTGCATATTTAAAGTTCTTTGGCACAGCTGATCACTGCTCTGATCCTGTGAGTGGGCTTCTGCCTGTCAGCAGTTTAAAAATATGAGCATTGATTGTTAGCTTAAATTGTGATGTGCTATCTCATAGTTGCTATAATTTAATTGTATCTTTAAAATTAAGTATCCTGTGCCAATATTGTAGCCATTACTGTTATGACAACAGCCTTTTTAGTGAAGAAATTTGTAGGCTTGTGTTTGAATGCAACATTAGGTTTTAACTGACTTCCAAAGATGATCTGCAGCTTTTCCTTTATTACACTTGTCAGTGTGCTGCCAATACTGCAAGGATATTTATAGTCCCATTTCTGTATTCTAGAAACTGAAAAAAGGACAGAAGGTTTTGTCCAAATAATCCTGAGATAAAAGGCTCAGTAGTCAGGAAAAGCAGAGACTTTTAGTGGCCATTTGAATACTCTAAATAAACCTTTCCTCTGAGTTCTGAGAGAATGGCACCTCTGTTGCAAGGCTCCATCTGATGCTGCTTTCCATGAGCTTTTTAGTATTGCACAACTTCAGGACTGATGGCAAACTTGCCATTTGTGGATAGGTGGTGACCACGAACTTTACTCCAAGGGGATGGATGGATGGATGGATGGATGGATGGATGGATGGATGGATGGATGGATGGAGGGATGTCACTGAGCAGTTCTCTTCTGAAGGAGCCCATTAATATCCTTAGAACCATCTCTGCAGCAGAGGAGTGACCAGTATGCTGTAGTTTTCAGTTCCATTCACTTCTGTTGCTTTTGGAAATTGTGAATGAGCCCATTTTACAAATGCTCCCTTCTGTTTGCAGTTATTATAATATAAAATAGGGGTTTAAGCATAAAACTCTTGAAACATGAATTTACAGTATTTTTATGACAACTGACTGACAATGTACAGCAGGCTAAGGGTATTGGTAGTTTTCTGGGTTCTAAGTAGGCAACAAAGTAGAGGATGGTGATTTTTCTAGGCTGATTATGTCTAGATCTCATAATCTTTTTTTCATGTGTATTTACTAAGGCAAAAAGACCAAATACCACTTAAAAATAATCCTTTTAATATATTTGCTTTAAAATGGATCTGCTTATTAACGATTATATTGTGTGTACACATATCTATCTGAAATTTTATTTACTTGCATGTTGAAGGACAGCATCTCCTTTGTTTGCTCTTATAATTACATATAATGTTAGACCATTTTACAAGCATTGCAAATTTGGTGTGTTTACTCTGTAACTTTTTAACTTTTTGCTTGGGCTGTAAGAGATCTTAGACAATATATATGTTACTGCCACATTTGATAATTAAATTAATCTTCAAAATTCTAGCAACTTTATGTACATTTCTAATGCCTGTTCAAACTTTATCAACCCCATATTTACAGAGAGTGATAAGCCACGAACAGGAACAGGTGAACCAGTTTTAAGTTTGCACTACAGTACAGAAGGAACGACTACAAGCACAATAAAACTGGACTTCACTGATGAGTGGTAAGAACAAGTTAATTTTGGTTTTGACTAGTTCATGATTAGCACATATCAATAACACTTGTAATAGCTGTAAATTATTTTTCCTGTGGTTTATGTCTATTTTAAGTGTATCTACACAATTTGAAATGGCTGTAGTCTTAATGCATTCAGAACATAAGATAGATGTACCTTAATGTGAAATTTATACAAGAGACTTCTTTTTTGTGTATTTACTGTGAATCTCTATAATTACATAATTATTCTGCAAGTGAGTCTTTCTGTGACTCAGTTCCTGAATTGTAAACACTGAAATTGCCACATTTAGCCACTCTTAAGTGCTGTGGCTGTAGACACAGCACATGCACCTTGCTCACAGTTTGGGAGCTTTAAATACTGATTTTTCCTCCAATATCCAGGAAACTTTGAAAAAATTAGTTTTGCTGTGATACTTTTATGTAATTCTGCAGTTAGTCAGCAAATTCCATGGAGTTTGGTGGTGGGTAGTGTGGTGTGGGTAGTGAGAGGAAGAAGCATTTTCTGGTAGGACAAAGTTGCAAGTCATTGTCAGTTCAGAGGCTGACTAAAAACATTGTGCTGAAGAGTGGAGCAACAGGAGCAAGATGCAATTCCATCTGACAAAATGATGCAATTGAGAACAAATAACTCCCTGATCTGAGAATTGGAAGTTGTGAGAATGAAATAGAGGAAGACATGTAAATCCTACAAGTCAAAAAAATATTTTACTGTTTAGGCTGCGATTAGGTTTATAGAGAGATGAGACATAAAATGGCAAAAATCTTCCATCTGGTGTCTAGCAGTACCTTCTTGTCTGGCCATTCAGAAGCAATGCTGAACATTCTGGATTTAGAAGAAATACTGAAAGGGCTAACAAAAACTTCCCTACAGCTTCCAAATCCAGTACAGCAATGAATACACAGAACATTGCTCATCAAGAGGAGTAAGAGCTCTGATTTAACATAAGACATAAAATTCTTGAAGTCTAGACTGAATTCTCAAGAATGCCAACTAAGCATGATCTGTGCTGCTTCTAGCAATGTAGCATATTAAATATTTGCTAATAACATACACAAGTCAGAAGAGTGTCTTTTGTAAAAAGACACTCTAAAGTATTGAGAATCATGCTTATAATTGCCTTTTTCTCTGCTTTTGTCCAATGACTTGCCTGAGTTTTAGGCCACATCACATAAGAGAGCTCAGCAACAAGACTGCATTTCCTACAAGTCTTTGCTAGAGAGTCTAAAAACATGAATTTCAATGACATTAAGGACAACATTTTACATATTTCCTGAGGATTCATTTTCCATATTGTAAAGGGAAAATGGTGTCCCACAATAATTATCTAAACATGAATGGGGAGTAAATGTCAAATACCAGCTTATAGTGAATCTTGAGAAATAACAAAACTTTGAGAACTGAAAGTCCATACCTTGAAAGGTACAGGAATGATAATTATTGGTGAAGGACATAGTGGTGAGACTTTTATCTGAATCATATTTTTTAATTGAGTGAGATAACATTATTTATTAGTGCTCAGTTGATAGCTCATACCTCTAATAAGATGATCTCTGATTATTTAAACATCTAAAAAGTGTGCAAATAGTGAAATACAGCAAATTCTTTGGAGTTCTTAAAGTATTTGGAAAAGCAATGATGACATTCTTTAAAGGTAAAAAAAAGGAAGGAGAGAAAAAGGTTCTGTGATGCAGAGGAATTGTGTGGGATAAGTGGCAATGGACGCAATAAAAGGGAATTTTGAAATTGCTGTGAATTGATTGTAGCTGGTGCCAGGAGCTCTCACTTTACTGCAGTGAGATAGACAATGTTGGTCAAGCTGTGCTGTTGAAATGATCTTATTTATTTCTTTATTTATTTGTGTGTTTATTTATTTATTTATTTATTTATGTGTTTACATGATCCTAAATTATTTTATTTTTCCATGTTATGTTTCCAGGAGTAGCATAAATTCAAGCTCTAGAGGGAGTGGAAGTCATTGCAAAACTGAAGGCCAAGAAGACTCTGTAAAAACAAAAGCTTTGGATGAATCAGGGCCTGATGGGGAAGAAACAAGTAAGAAACATTGGGATTTCTAATGCTAAGGCAAAAATTCTACCCTCCTATGTAGGGTAGACTCCCATTGCCATAATAAAGCATGAATTTTTTAGGAAAGACATTAACCTGAGATAGCTGTAATAAATATAAACATTGACTTACCTTGTCTTTAGTTCTAAAAACATTATTCTTCTTAGGGGATATTGTGCCTTGATTTGTATAGGAAAATAAACAACTGCACTTTGCAGTCATAAATGAGCGACATTTCTTTCAAGCTTTCACTGTGTTTTATTAAATGTGTTGTCTTGCTCAGTTCATTGCCAAAAGGGCAGTCAAGTCAAATGACTACTTCCAGAGAAATACAAAAAAAAAAATCCCTTTTAATAGACTGATAACTTCATTTGTCTTCAGAAATAATAGTTAGTGTCTGCATTAAGAGTAAAAATGCTGTTTTTGCTGCTTAAGTCCTCATAGCATAGGCTGTTAAAAACATTCAGGAACAAGAAATGATTACATTTTTCTTAGTGTGTTGACCTGGTCAACTAGATAGGTTTATATATACTGATTTTTATGTGACTGATAGCTGAGATTTCAGTAGAGACATTGACTTTGGAGTTGCTTGCTTGGATTGGTTTCTTCTAGGAGTGCTGGTGTCATTTAAACTTGCTTACATTATAGATGTGCATCTAATTGAAATCATGTGGTTTACCATTAAATTGCTTAATTTAGGGGTTCCTGATGAATCTCTCAAGGAAGATGCAAGTGCTGAAGAGCTGAAAAATACAGATGAAGCTGCAGAGACAACAGAAGCAAGTAGGTATCTGTACATAGCAAGTATGTATCTGTAGTCCTTCAAGTAGTTATAGGAGGAAGTGGAGAATGAAATATTAACTCAGTTTGCATAATTTAACTTTGCTGACCATTTCTAAAATAGGCTATAGTTGTTATTGTGACTTGTTTTCCCCAATATTTGCTTTTCAGCAGTATCAGATGAACCTGCTTCTGAGCACTCCGGAATTGAAGCAGAAAAAGCCGGTCCCAGTGCTGATGCTGTCTGTGGGAACACAGAGGAGGAAGCCTCCTGTGAGCAGGGGGCACAGCAAGCCGTTTGCAGCCAGAGCAGTGACCCCAGTGGCACCAGCCCTCTGGCCAGCGAGGAGCCTCAGTCCCAGCCGGAATCCTCGGGGCTGGCGGCTCCCGACGACGCCTCCACCAGGAGCTCGGCGCTGCAGGAAACCGACGACAGCGACGACGACCCTGTCCTCATCCCCGGGGCCAGGTATCGAGGAGGCCCTGGCCACAGGTGAGGCCAATACCTGTCTCTGCTTGGAAAAATGCTTCTGGCTTTGTTTTTCCTTTCTCTTTTCTTGTTTATTGCTTTGAATGAAAGATGGAGAAACTCAGCCCTCATATCCTTGAAGCTGTTCTTTGACAACTGGCCAAGAGCTTGATGGCTGAGTGTAATTTGCCTATGTGTAAGATATGTACAGCTGCATTTTCCCTGCAAGCCAGGAAGGCTCTTGCAGATCTAATATCTGCTTATGCTGATCTCTTGCCTGCTGAATACCTCAGTGCTAAGTATTTGCAGTTTATTTGTTATTATTCTCCCTCTAGTCATAAGTATAGAAAGTTCATAAATTTGGGGACATGGACCTACATTTTCTTTAGTTATGCTTTAGGTGTTCTTATTCTGGCAAAGCAAGAGCTTTTAACTGCTCTTGTGTAGCAATGGTGTGTTTGTAGTACATATATTAAAACTGATGTGTTCAATTTTTCATTCTTCTTTTTCTCTGAAAGAGAAACTGTAATCCTTTTCCTTTTGTTGGTTATTAAATATTACTATGTATGTCAGTTAAAAAAAGGTAGACTGGCTGTTACCATGAATAAAAGATGCATTTAGTAAGCTTTGTGCTTTTTTTTATATGAAGAGCTGTACATACTTGTTTGATCATTCAGTAAACTGAACCCTCAATTTGCTATTGTTGGTTTAATACCTTTCTTCACTAATTTCAAAACTATAAAATTATCTAAGCAACATTTCTGTTGTTAGACTTCATACAATACCTTTTTACTAGCTTTAGATGTAATTTAACCTCATGTCACATACCTTTGCTTTACTCCTTTTCAAAGACAGTGCTATTAATTTCTTATGCTAGCAATGAAGATTCTTCACAGGAATTTACAATATGTATTCATTAGGAAATCAGGAAGAATTTAATAGCTGTTTCTAGAGAAAGTTTTGAATAATTCGCAGTTAAAATAGAGATGGTAAGCCAGCATGTTGTCAGTAGTGGAAAAAAGAACAGTCAGTGGTTGTTTATTACAAAGCACAAGTAATTCTGCTCACTAAATGACAGTTTTTATGAAGAAGCCAATATACACAGATTCTGTGTTAACCCATTAACTTTCCATGCAGTACTAAGTATTTGTAGGCAGATATGGAATGGCAGAAATATTTTCCCCTGCAGAGCGAATGTTCATTATGATCCAGTGATTGAAGAGCAAGCTGTGAAAAGCCCCGCAATTTTAATCCCATCTCCATTTTCAAGCAGGATTCATAGCTTCTCTTCATGCACCATGTTGTCTCTACAATGTAATAGTTTCTGTTGCAATGTGATAAGAATTACACTTCCAGGTATCACACAGCTGTTACCATTTCCCACTAGTGGGGACATCCTAAATGAAGTTACAATTTATCTGACATGCTTCCTTTCCTCTCTGTGCAGTGAGATTTTTTCCTGTAACAGTTTAAATTTATCTCCTAGGAAAGATCATTCAGCCAAATGAATGATATCATTAAAATCCTTTATGCAGTCCCCTGCTCCCTTATTCTCCCCCCAAATAAAATTTGAAAAAAAGTTGCTTTGTAGTCAGTGTTGGTTTAGGATTTCCTGCAGGCTTTCATTGCTCAGGTTTAATACCTGACCAGATCATTTTGTTCTGCTTTTGTGTGTGTGCAAGCAGTGAAGTTTTCCAGTTTAGCTACTGAGCATTATATTCCCTCCTATTCTTCAGGTTTCAGGAGTTTCCAAATGCAGTCTGAGATATTAAGGAAAAGTAAGACATCCTGTATATGCTCAAAGGAATGTGGATTTCCAGAAAGGAAGCAGACACTGATGGTCCTAAAAGCTATAGCTCTAAGCCCTCTTAGTATTTATATCTCATATTAGAGTGAAAGGAACTGGAAGTTCTCTCTAGTAGTACTATGGCAGTTGTTATAGCCTAAAATCCCTTTCACAAACTGATCAAATTTATATAAAATTCCCCATGTCCCTTAATGAGTAGGAAGCTAACTCAAAGCATTGCTGCTACCTTGGGTATACATGAACTAAAATTGGTCATTTTGTTCTGTGCTAACATTCTGTTTTGATTCAAATAGTTTTTTACACCCAGTGCTCATCATTGAATGGTGTTCATCCTGTCCATTTTCAGGTTTTGTCTCCTTAGACTGAGTGCCAAATTTTTCTCACTCTTAGCAGTAAAAATTCATGGGTTTCGTGCCATCATGCTGGTTTCTGTCTCCTCTTCATGTTTCACTTTTTGCCTGAATGTGGTAGCCCAGCCCCCTGCACTGTTTGGGTTTTGCTGGAGTAATTCTGTGGTTGTTACTTTTGGTCTAGAGAGGATTCTCTGAGCACAATGAGCTGGGGCTGTGTCCTCCTCCTCTCTTGCCTGTCACTGTTCCAGTGAGGGCTTGTGGTCAGACAGAAGCTCTGCACCCTGCACTCTTCCCTACTTTGTTATTCCATAATTAATCAGTGTTCCCTTTCACCAGAAGGAAGCTTCAGGTGTATAACTCAGTTTTATACTGCTGATTTTCTTTTTCTCAAGGCCCTACAGTCCCCTCTATTAATAAGTTCCCCACCCTCAATGTGCTGCATGATTCCATTCCTACACCCTGCTCAAGGACCAGTAGCAATACTGGCACAAAATTGCCTGCAAGTCTGGAGCTCCACTCCTCCAGGATGCTTTCTGTAGGCTTCTTTTCTCTTTCCTCACTCAGTAAATTGTGTTATCTAACAATTCCTTTACTAAATCTCATTTTTTTCGAGTTTATCTAATGCTTTACTTTCCAATGTGTCATCTTATAAGATAATTAATGGCATTAATATCTGAGTAATATAAAGTAGATTTTTTTTTTTCTCTGTAGAATACTTAAGGGGAGCTGCTTTGGTCTTTTTTGTTGTAGGTTTGGTTTTGCTGTGTTTTATTTTTTTTTTTCTGAAGAAGAAAGACTAGCCTGCAATAATCTACCTTTTGTGAACATATTTTATGTAATGAAGAAAAAAAGTTTCATTTTTCTATAGGACAAAAAATTTTAAAAAGACTCTTGTAGCCTTCTGAGACAGAATGCAAAAAAATGTTTGACGAATAAGGCTTTTCCAATATGTAGCATTATTGGCTTTGTCTACAATCAATTTGTTTTTCTTTAGGCTGTGTTTTCTCATAAACCGAATAGCTCTTGGTTACATTGAGCAGAATACTCTACAGGTGGAACTTTTAATTTAAAGGAGCTATAAGCTCCTTTAAATTAACAGGTGGAGAAATTCAGATAAAGGAATCTGTCTGAGTCATTTTTCCACTGTGAAGTACAGTTTGCTCCACTGAAAAAGAAGAGTGGATTTCTGATTCTGTACTCTGAAAATCATGATCTGTAGCTTCCTCTTAAGGAAAAAAAGTGGCCGAAATACCCTTCTGATAGCTCTGTTAAACAGAGCTCTAAATAAATTGAGAACTTCCTGCTGCATCTCACCTTATTTTTACTAAGATGGATGTAGATTTCAGATTTATTTAAAAATATTGTTTATTTTGCAAATCTAATTGTACAAGGCTTCCATTATTTGAATATTATTTGTAGTTGTTATGTTTTCAAGCTGAGGGTTTGATCTTTTTCTCAAACAATCTCATATGGTGCATATTTATAAGTCTCAAAACATAATGAGGATGGGTGGTTTCTCACCAACTAACCTGCAACTGAGCTATCAGGAAGGACTGGGCAAAGTCTGCACTTGCTTTAATATTTTGAAAAAGACTTTAAATAGTAGCAGCAAAATGTGGAGAAATACCATGATCCTTTGATTGATTGACTAAGTCAGCTGCATGTTGACTTGGAGTCAGCTAGGAAGAGTTTTGACAGAGAAGGACATTTCTTTAAAATAAATAAAGAATTGAGAATGTGACATCTGCCATTTTTCAGCAGCATTTCTGTAGCCACTGAATATCACTGTAGGAATGGTCTTCACAAGTGACTAGGAGAAACTAAGCAGTTATTTCATTTTTTCATGTTGTTGGGCCAGTCAATGCATGCTCTTTTTAACAAAATGGATAAGGAAGTGCACAGAATATTTTAAGATGGAAAAAAAAATTTAAAACCTTTTCTGTACAGCAGAGCAGTTTAGCCAGATACTCACCAGAGTAAAGAACCTCCTATGCATTTTAGGGAATCCCCAGGAAAAGGTGCCTTCTCTGACAAATAAGACAACATATGCAGGTCTTTCAGTCTGGACATATGCAAGGGCATTTCTCCTTTAAAACTTTCTGGATCAACTAAGTTTAGTTCAAAAAGAGGGTGGTATCTTGTATTCTGTGGGAGGGGAGAAAAAAAAAATCTGTGCAAAATGTTCTTCATACACAGAGAGTGCAGTTTTTAATGGATTGATCTTAATTTTTACAAATTAGTCAAAACAGCTCTCTGAGGGCTGATTTCCTACTTAAATGACTGAATTAATTTTGTTTGGACTTTGAAGTTGATCTGGGGGTGGAGGCTAAGCCTGGAAAAAGCTACAACTAGCTTTAACTAAGGTTAAAATTAAAAAAATACAAATGTAAAATGGAAATGATGATACAGCTGCTGTGATCTATGAAGACTTACTGCATTTTATAACTTTGTGTACTGTTATATAATCTGAATACTATTTTTGCTGAAATACAAGTAGTCTCATGTACTGACTCATACACTGGGAAGGAGCCTTCTCAGTTGGAATTCATAGAGCACATTTTGTAAGAGATGCTAACCTTTGAAAAACATGGTACCTAGCATTTGTGAATGACTTCAGTTGTTATTCCCTTTACTAGATATAATATCAGAGGAACAGCGATAGGTGATAGAATAATGAGGTAATTAATTATTTTATTCCTCCCCTCCTCCTTTTTATTGCCATATATTGGATTTATCAGGTTCTGGTTTTCATATCTAACTGGCATTTTAAGAATTGCTGTACTTCAAATGCTATGAATTACAGAGCATATTGCTTGAGTTATATTTAGCTGCATGTGTTGCATGGAAATTGAAAAGAAATGATA